TGGTCTTGAAAGTTAAGCAGGGTCTGGCCAGGTTAATACTTGGATGGGAGACCACCAGCACATTCCTGATGCTGGAGGCTCGATTATTTCATAGGAACTGGCAAAACCACCTCTGAGGATTCCTTGCCTAAGAAAACCCTATAAAATCCATGGGGTCGCCATGCCTCAATGAGAAATAAAAAGGCCAAAGTGACCCAGGCAGGGAGTGTCAACACAGTAAATACAAAAGTCCTAGATGGGAATGAACGAATGAATGACTTTGGGTGTTGTCCCAGTTTGCAAGGCCAGAAACCTAGGGACTGGGGGGAAATTCTTATTTTGGGAGGTGCAATGCTTTTGTGTTTTTGCTCTTGTGCCCAAGAGACTCTAAGCATGCCTTGTTTCTGCAGGGAAAAGGCAGAGAAATGAACCAGTGAGTGCAGGAGGCTGATGCTTTAGTAATAGTTAGTACTGGCAGTGTGTACAAAAGTGATTTGGGAGCTTGTCTAGTCTTGCTAACCGTGCAATGGTGTGACGTGTGCGGATTCGGAAACATCTCTTGGTCAAGCCCTGGGGAATAAACAGGGCCCAGGCGCAGTTCCCAGGCTCAAACCTGCCTGGAATTCAAAAAGTCTTTGGAACTCATAATCCTTACACCCAGATTCCTGTTATTGCTCAGCAGCACTCTGCATATGCTCAGAGCCTCCCTTTTTAGCAAGACGGGACAAGCTGCATCTGTATTGCAGGAAATAATCCAGGTTGATGCCACTTTGAACTGCCATGGTTCAGTGCTATGGAACTCTGGGAATTGCAGTTTTGGGAGCCTTCTTCTGTTAGAGAGCTCTGGTGCCACAACAAATTACAAGTCCCAGAATTCCACAGCACTGAGCCTGGGCAGTTAAAGTGGTGTCAATCAGGATTATTTCTGTCATGTAGATGCAGGCGTAGGCTGTCATCCTGTCAGTTATTAGAGTCGACCCATTCAGTTGAATGGAGAATCAACATATATGTAAATCTCGAAAGCTGATTGAAGCAATAGGTTTGTTCCAGCGTGTAGCCACATTGCAGAAATAATGCAGTTTGGTACCGCTTTAACTGCCATGACTCTTATCCGACAGAATCCTGGGATTTGTAGTTTGGCAAGACACCAGAGCTCTCTGACAGACTGGGTTGAATTTCTCACCAAACTACAAATCCCAGGATTCCATAAGATGGAGCCATGACAGTTAAAGCAGTGTCAAACCGCTTTATTTCTGCAGTGTATATTCTAACTAACTGGTGTAACAAAATGCATCCAAGGAAAGCGCCAAATAAAATTGCCTTTTGTTCTGATATAGGTGGGAACCTTTCATTCTTCAAATAACCCCAGTCAGTCTGTTTCTAAGGATGATGCTGATAATACAACATAGTCAAATAAAATGCAGACGATTGTTATGGAGCGTTATAACTCCCCTATTGCACATACAAAAGAATATTTTTAAAAATATTCGTATAACATGTAAAGAACGGGTTTCTGGGATGTCTAGAAATCATGATGAGGATCCTGGACAGATGAGACGCTTCGGAGTTTGGGACTTGTTCAGTGCAAAAAAGAAAGAAAGAAAAAGAAAGTTTCCTGCGCAAAAAAACCCAACATTTTCTGCCAAGGAAAGAAAATTTCGCTGTAGAAAATGTTTCGTATACAAAATTCAATTTTCTTCACAAAACAGTGCAATATTTATTCATTTATTTATTTTGCAAAATTTAAGTCCCAAATGGCAAATCATCTTTGCAAACTGCACCATCCTCACCGCAGGGAGAAAAACAGCCAACTTAATGTTCTTCTTCTTTTTCTTGTTATTGTTTGTGCTACAGTCACAGCCAAGACGAAATTTCCAGATGCAACCTCTTGGCTCATAGCCCCTGGTCATAACCACAACATTGGTGTTTGATTGTTGTTGTTGTTGTTTTTAACCAGTGCAATGCAAACAGATTTATATTAAAGACGATTTTATATTTTTGCATTTGTATTTTTATTTTTGGTGGGGGGGGTATCGCTTACTTGTTACCTGTATTCTATTTTAAGTTTATTACAGTTATTGTCATTTATTTGTTTGTACTTTTAACATCACTGTATTGAATTGTGATGTCTTATAGCTTTTCTAGCCAACACATAAGAAATCCATTTTAGGAGAAGGCAGCTCTCTCTGTCTGTGGCTTGCAGAAGAGTTTAATCTGAACCGAAGATGCCGCCTGAGATTAAGCCTTGTGTCCATCAGGAGAAGAGGGATTGGCACCATCCTTTCGATGGTCCTGGCACTCAGAGGGATGGGCATGGCTAAACCTCAGCCATCTCTCTCTGCAATGGTGCTTGCAACACAGACACATCCTCTTGCTTCCCTCCTGATGCAAGCCTGGAGTGCACCAAGCGGGCATCAGCCTCGCCCACAGGGCACTCCGGGTCTGGTGCCCGCCCTGCAAAGCATGGCAGCCAATGGTCATCTGCTGCAGTGGTAGGGAGCCAGCCCCACACGGCTGCCATTGGCTGCAAAGTGGCATGGAGACAAGGCTGGCCTGTCTGTCACCACCCCTCCCCTCCCCAAATCTTTGCCCAAAAAGAGGGAGGGAGGGAGGGAGGGAGGACTCAACAGCCTCCATGCCCACTCACCATTGGCTGCCACTGGAGCCAATCTCTGTTGCCCAGCCACTGGGGATTAACCCTTCCGTGCCAGTTTTGTGCAGGCATTTATGCATATGGTTATTATTGGAATAGTACAACTCGGCACAGAAGTTGGAATCATACAAGCCGTCATATTCCCTATTAACTATGGATGGATCTTGCTTAATTGTC